TCCCATCCTGGACTCGGGTTGGGCGTAAACAGGGCCCTCACCAATCCAGACACTTATCTCACTGATAGCGGCGTCTCCTTAGCTCCCAGATGGACGGCTTTTGCTTGGCATCAACAATGCTCAGAGTCTCAACGCTCTCGCTCGCTTTCCATCGCATGAGGGCAGTAGACTCTGACGCGTGACTTCGTTTTCCTTGGCTCTAAACCTAACGGTGCAGGGGGGGTGGAGCCAAAAAAATTAGCATCTCCGTCTGCAATGTCGCGTAGTATCTTCTTTTCACATCTCCCATATCCCACGGCTCCACCCTCAACATATCTCCCATTACTACGTTACAACTGCAACTAGAAGGTACCCATTGTAACGGCACCCAAAATACTCACTTTCCTCAGGAGATTCTTGTCCCTTCCCCAGCCTTAATCCCAGAGCCTCATACCCAACGAGGAAGCACACTGCCTGTGAAGAAAACTACAGTGAGTACAGATGAGGAATTCAAAGCACTAACCTCTTACTCACAGCCAGCGATGCAGAAGGCAGAAACATGAGGACTATTCATGTCTCCTTAGAAGGATGTCCAGACTGCTCAGGTCCACTTCTGCCATATTCTTGTCCGGCTAGGGCTCCTGGACGATTCCTCTGCAAACTAATAAAGTCAAGCAAGTACTATCACTACACAGAGCTCTATTGGTGCGTCGAGTCTTGCCCTCATCCCTGCCTCCCTCTCCAGTCCCATCTACATCAGCCCCACTCGATGAACAGAGACCGAGTAAACACAGACAGTCACAGCTCCACTTTAGCGCCCACTGCCCCGCATGGTTTTCATCCGCTCCTACTTCTCCACGGCTACCAAGACCTGGCGTGTGGGATACACGCCTAGCACCCCTGACTGTGTCCTACGAAGGGTGCATGTTGGGGAGCAAGGAGAGAGAAAGGCTGAGGGGCCCCATGGGTGGTGGGAGGGACTGGGGGGAAGGGTAGGGATAGGGGTTCAGGTTGGGGAATGTTGGAGAAAGGAGAAAAGGGCACTGGAAGCCCCACAGATCTAGGGACAGAGTGGGGTGCAGGTTGCGTTGGGCTGGGGGTGTTGGGAGGGAGGAAAAAAGGGGGCTATGGGGCCCAACGGATGGGGGGATGAACTAGGGGGCTGTTGGGGAGGAAGGCGGGCTGAGCAGTCCCTACAGGTGGAGGCATGGATGCAAGCGCAGGTTGTGGTGAGCTGGGAGAATGTTGGAGAGAGATGCGGGCTGAGGAGTCCCAAGAGTGGAGGAATGAACTGAGGAATACAGACATGTGGGTTGGGGAAAGTTGTTGCAGGCTGGGGGGTGTTGGGGAAGGAGCGAGGCTGAGGGGCACTATGGGAGGAGGCAGGGATGGGGTGCAGTTTGGGGTGGCCTAGGAGGTGTTGGAAGGAGAAGAAAGGAGAACTGAGGGGCCCAACGGATGGGGGGATAGACGGGAGCAGGTTGGTTTGGGCTGGAGGAACGGGGGTTTGGGTTGGAGAAGGTTGCAGGTATGGGTTGGGGACCAGGTTGGGGCGGACTGGGAGTGTGGGGGGATAGGGTGCGGGGGGGGGACGAGGAAGGTCTTGGCGGGCTGGGGATGGGGGGGGGCGAAGGAAAGTCGCAGCGGGCTGTGGGTGTGGGTTAGAGAAGGTTGCTGCAGGCTGGGGATGCGGATTAAAGAAGGTTGCGGCGGGCTGGGGATGCGGGGTGCGTGCTGAGGGTGCGGGGGGCGAGGAAGGTCGTGGTAGGCTGGGGGTGCGGGGGGATGGGAGGCAGGTTGCGGGGCTGGGTCAGAGAAGGTCGTGGCAGGCTAGGGGTGTGGGGGGCACGGGTTAGAAAGGTCGCGGCAGTCTGTGGGCGCGGGTTAGAGAAGGTTGCGGTGGGCTGGCGCTGGCCAAGGGATGGGGGGGTGCGGGTTAGAGAAAGTTGCGGCAGGCTGGGGGGAAGTCGTGGTAGGCTGGGGTACGAGGAAGGTCGTGGTGGGCTCGGGGTGGGGGGAACGGGGGATGGGCTGGGGGAAGAATGTTGCGACGGACTGGGGGTGCGGGGGAGACAAGGAAGGTGACGGCATTCTGGGGGTTTGGGGGGTTGCAGCGGGCTGGGGGTGCGGGGGGATGGGGACGGGATGGGGGGTGGCGGATTAGAAAAGATTGCGGCCTGCTGGGGGCGCGGGGTAGGTCGCGGGGGCAGGGGGCCAGGCTGGGGGCGGGTTAGAGAAGGTTGCGGCGGGCTGGAGGTGCGGGGGGGCGAAGGAGGTGCGGGGGGACGAGAAAGGTTGGGGCGGGCTGTGGGGGCGAGTTAGAGAAGACTGTTACGGGCTGGGGTCAGTGGCTGAGACGTGCCGGTACCAAACATACCCGAGGAAGCAGCACTTTAAAAACTACAACTCCCAGGTTGCGTTGCTCATGACGGAAGCGACTGGCGCAGAACGGAAGCCAAGTTCCCCGGCATTCCGCGGTTGGCGTCCAGACCGCTGATATCACTTCTTCTTCCGACAACTTCCGTTTCCGGCCACGCTCTGCAAACGGAAGCTATAATGCCAAAAGCGCCTCCCGCCCAAAAAGAGGGCGCTGGGCCCCGACCCGCTGCGAGAAGCGAGCACCAGACCCCGCCTCTCCCACGGTGCCGTTGGATCTGCGGTGGCTGATGGGAGTTGTAGGCCGGGGTATACTACATCTCCCACAAGCCACTGCTTCATTCCTTCCCTCCGCCCCCACCCCTCCAGCGGGGCTTAGCTGGGCACATGGCAATAGTGGGGGCTGTGGATGGGCGCCGAGGGTGGGGGTCTTATGGGGTGTGTTTGTGTCCTGAGGAGGATTGAGACTGGGGGGCAATGGGGGGCAGGTGGGAGATGGGGGATAAGCAGAGGGATTCCAGGCTTCCGGCAGTTTTGGGGTGTCAGGTTGTGGCTAGGCCCATCTAAGTTGAAGTGGGGACAGGTTGGTTTTGGACCTGCTCAGGGGGCATGGGAATGGGCAGGAGCAGGAGGGATGCAGGGGATAGGGGAGAGTAGAAGATTTTGGTTGAGGCGGATGGGGGTGCAGGGAATGAGAGGTTTATCTAGGTGAGTGGAGGAGGGTGAGTGCTGCGGGGATAGGAGCAAGAGCTGAAGTGGTTTCAGAGGAGGAAACTAAGGCACATAAGCCAAGGAGGGAACGCAAAGTTGATGGGGGGCGGTGGCTAAGGGTGCCCCACTGTAACCTACTGTCCCCAGTCAGGGGAGGGGTCACCCATCCCCCTCGCTGTGAGGTTGGCTGCTCCCACTGGCAGCACAGCTCAGGAATGCTCCCTCTGTGACTCGCTATTGCACATATAGAGGGCACGTCTCATAGCAGCTTGTGCTTCTCACCACCCCCTAGCAGCTAGAAGTTTCTGGCTTCTCACTCCATGGTGGGAGAAAGCACAAGACACTCCCATCTCCCATGCCATCTCCGTACCTTTTTCTCCTCGATCCAACTCCCTGCTTAGTGCCTTACCCCTGCTGTGACATCTCAACATAGAGATGGGGCAAAAGGGTACCTGCCAAAATCCTGGGATAGCTCCCCTCCAGCACTGTACATGTGTTTAAGAGTGAAGGGAAAGGGGAGTAGCCTTCCCCCTCTTTCCACATGTTTAGTAGTTTGTAATGTAAAAAAACCTGCTGTGACGGTACAAATGGAGAAACAGATCTTTCCATACATTATTACAGAGATTAAGTGGCACTGTTATGCAAAGGTGCGTTGGAGTCAGAGATGCTAGAATGCATAGTCCACCACCACACATTTTTATTTCAAAAAACACTACCAACCTATCAGAATACATCCTTACCCCTTAGAGTAGGCTGCCAGTGTGATAAGCATGACTGAGATACTAAAGAACTCAGAGTTAGATGTAGTTAAAATTGTCTGTATTGTTCCGGGGTGTGATGGTTCAGCCTCAACCGTGCTTGTTTCCCCATCTGTAGAAGGTTAAGGATTACATCCTCCTTCTCCTGCCAGCCAGAATCTTGTGTCTGAAGCAGATTTCAAGGCAGTAATAGATGTTTAGGGTCACCGCTTTGTTGTAGGTTTACAGTTAGCATTTTGAAATAAGTAAAAGAATAAAATAATTATTTTCTCTTGCATTGCAATTTGATGTTCCTGTTCAAATATTTGGTGTAAATCAATCCTGTTTTGTGCATGAATGAGGAGTGTGTGTGTTAGAAGATAAGTGTGAAGGCAATCACCAGACCAAATGTTCTAGGGAGGACAGACAAAGGCGCTAGGAGATTACAACATGCCCCTATTGAGAAATCAAAGGAGCGCAGATTGACGACTCTAAAAAATAAGACAGGCACCTATCAATTGGGACAAGATAGCTGTGATGAAAAACCAGCATGGGGTAAGTCCCCGAGAGACTGATGAAGGAATAAAATAAGAATAATTTTAGAAAACAAGCACTCGTCAAACGGCAATTGATTACAGCATGACGATACAAAACTCATTGGTCCCAATGAAGTTAAGATCACTATATAAACAGGGTGCTTTGCAATGAAATTTTGGGTGTGTCCTGCCAAGACTTTTCCCGGAGCATCGTGTCACAACCAACAGAACCTGGCTCCTCCCTACCCGTGATCAACCTAGCTGGCCACGAGGTTGCTCCAGACTCTGTAATGGTAACTACATCTACTGGTGGGACAGTGTGAGTGGGATTGAATGCATATGCTAAGAGTTGTATTTCCAATAAACGCAGCGTATTGCCTTTTCCCCTGAAAAAGATCCTATGTGCTTCTTATAAGCATAACACAGTAGGGGTGGGATAGTGGAAGAAACAGGGGAACGGAGGCATTCTGGGGAATACATTTTCAAAGCCCAAGTGGGTCTTTGCAAACTTGTCAATATGATGCATTTATATATTTTTAATCACACCTCCAGCTGCACCAAATAGCACATAGGGCAGCACATTCTGCAAACAAAGGTAAGAGACTACAATTCCCCTGCTGCATCAAGACACACTGCACTAGAAGCACATGTGAGAAGCAGCTTTAAGTCCTTGTTTCCCCCTCACACACACACTGAATAGATCTGGACAGAGAGCTATAGATGTCTATGTCTCAATCACCACTGGGCACATGCAGGTGAACATGGCTATGAAGGGAGGCTGTAGACCAACAGGCAAGGAGAGAGAGCATGTTGGCCAACACCTTAGAGAGACGTAATGAAGGAAGAACAAACTCAACACCTGTAGTCACCTTCCTGGTTCCAGGCCTTTGCTCAGGAGGACATGCTTCTCCCTGCCCTGGGAGATCAGAAACTCCCAAGATGCGGAAATTCTCCCTCTGCACCCAGAATGAGCAGGAAACCTTTTATTAGAAACCAAGCTGCAGCTAGAGGGAGCAGGAGTTTGTACTCAGCCTTTACCACACATTTATCTTAGAAGCCAGTCAGTGTAATGCACGGGTGATGTTCCCAGAGCAGCAGTGACACCAGGTGGGTGGGCAGTCAGGATAATGCATCTGCCCTGGTGCAGCAGTGACACCCAGTGGACACACAGAGTAATGCACAAACTGTTTATTCAAGGAGCAGCAGTGACACCGCTGACTAGTCAGGGGTAATGCATGGACTGTCTCTTCCATGGAGCAGTGGTGACACCCAGTGGCAACTCAAAGTAATGCACAGAGTGTTTCTCAGAAAAAAACAGTAACACCCCGTGGCCAGCCGTGGGCAGCGCCAGCCTCTTCTGGTGGCAGCTGCAACCCCCTTTGTCATGAGGCCCTGCCCCTCCTGTGGCTCCACCTCCGGCTCCTCCTCAGTGAAGTGCCAGCCCTGCCTCCTCTCCTCCAAGGCCCTGGCCCATGGCCATGTCAGAGGCCAGAAGCCATAGTTTGGCAGGGTGAGGCGGCTGCCGCACTAGCTAATGTCAGACTGCAGGCAGCCGCAGAGCTTCCCCATCTTGTCCTCCTTGGGACCGCAGGGCTATGGCTGCTCCTCAGCTCCCTACTGCCCTTTGACCGCTCACTGCCCATAATAGCCTCCCTGGTGCGGGGTCCAGCTACGGGGCCAGCACAACCCTCAGGGAGCAGGATTCAGGAACCCAGGCCAGAGCACATCAGTCCGGGATGCTGTGCTGAGCCTTGGACCTTCCACCTGCCCTGGGTGATGCACCTTTGTGAGCGGACACACGGGCCAAGAGCTATTCTCGGTCCCCCCGCTCACGTCCTCTGAAGCAAGCCAGAGTTGGTAGGGAGGAGGACTAGAGTGGCGTGACCAGGGAAGCTCACTCAGTGATGTAGAAGGAAGAGAGCTGAGGACTGAGCAAGTTGCTCTCCACATAGTTACCGTACTTCAGGAAGACTCCATAGCACCAGACAAGTCCTCGAGAGGGGACAAACGACTCCCCCAAGCTTATTGTGCCTCACATACATGCAAAGGCCTTTTCTCAGAGACCCACCCCATGCTGACAAGAGTTCTTGCAGTCCTCCCTCAATACTTAACTTAAGCAAATTTCTATTTGCTCTGACTCCACAGATGACTGTCTAGTTTCCATCTCCCTGGATGGTCTCAGGGTGGCTGCTCCTCTTGGTCTCTGCCAGAAGGCTGGACATTCTCTCATCTACCCAAAGTCAATAGGAACTGAAAAGAGAAAGAAACACTTATAAACTAGGCCACCACTGCTGCATCCAACACAGACAGATATGCTTTGTGAGGGAAATGCTGAAAAGTAATAACTCACTGATCAACACTATCATGTTGAAATGTACGTAGCAACATTCTGTGTAAAGTTATGAAATCCCCCTGTAGGGTGTTAAAGGCACTTGTTCCAATTCACATAGCCCTGATTAGGTAGCACTGGCCAAGCAGGCCTGTCATGTTGGCCTCAAATTGCATATCAGCTGTAAACGGAGACCACAGAGTACAAGAGAGGGAAGAAAGAAGAATTTCGGCATCCCCAGGTGAAAAGAAACAGCACAAAGCCTCCTTCTTACATCAGATGCCGTCTCCTTGCTCTCAGCAAGAAAGAACTTTACCTAAGAGTCAAGCTTGAGCAAATGCTTTTCAAAGGGTGATAACTATAAAAGTGAGGGGCAAAACCACCCCAAATTCTCTCCTATCCATCTCTCTCTTTCACCTAAGATGATAAGAAGAATGTCGTTGGACTGTGGAAGCAGATCTTGACCTAAGAGTGTGGGCAGCAATGTTACTGGTACCTGTGGGAAGGGACTTCATAAGCCTAGTTACATTTAGAAAAAAAATTATCTTTATTTTTCTGGTAAACATTTCTTACTTTAATGCCTCATTACTTTGCTCATTTAAAACCTCTCTCTGTGTAGTTAAATAAACTTTGTTTTATTTTTTAATCAAACCAGTCCAGTGTTGTGAACTGTGTGGATAATTCCATGTAAAGTGGCAAATTTTTATATATTGACCTCTTAGAAGTACAATGGATCTAATAGATCTGGATGGTCCAGGGGCGGACTAAACAGTACACAACACATTTTGGGGGTAAAATCAAGGATAGGGAGTGTGTTGGGTCACCCTGCATTTGGTAGCTCAGGATGATGAGTGGTGTGTTTAGTGTTGTAAAACACTCCCCATCAGAATCTGTTACTATGCTGTTGAGTGGCTGAACGTGTGCAGTAACAGGGGCAAAAGGCAGGCAATAGGTGGGGGTGTGGTGGGGTGTGTGGACAAGGCTGCAGGTTTCCAATATACCAAGAAACCTGCACTGATATGCAAGTGTGAAGGAACCTTAGAGCAAATGTATTGTAGTGGTCTGACTCTAACAGGATTTGTAAATTTAGTGCTGAAGGAAAATATTTTACCTTTCCTGACTAGCATGAAGAGTCCATGTAGAAAGCAGCATTGCCAAAGTTTCTCCAAACCATTAACCTCTATCCAATGGGGAAATTGTAATTTCAATTCCCTTAATTACAGCTTTAAACCATACACTGCCAACAAATGCCTCAAACATGACACCATTACACCTGGGCAATGAGGTAGTCCCGCTTGGGTGGACGGGACCAGCCCTGTGCACTCAACAGGCAACAAGCAAGATGAGATGGGATGAGGCAATCCTCAGTGCTAAGGGAGCTAAGAGTGGTTCAGAAAAATAGTTTATTTGTGTGAAAGTGAAATGAATTATATTAAAGAAATAGAATGAATTAAAGAATGCTGTATGTACCTTTTAGTAGAA